TTGTTTTCTGTCCTCAAAAAGCATAGAGATCTATGTCATATTTGTTGTGATTTGGTCGGATGGATTTTGAAATACGTTTACGAAATGGAATTTATAATCATGGCAATGCAAAAGGTGTGTAACATAGCTATCGGTATCATCTTATAGGAAGTAAAACTTGCTTTGTCTGTGAACATGTTATTGTTGTTCTCTTGTTAATAGTAAAGATTTTTCCGGCGTTTTGTAGAATAGCGAAAAAAATTGTTTTATATGAACGTATTTTATTGAAAATGTCTGTTTAAGATAGGCGTGACCAAAGGAAGGCCAATGAGAAGGCGGTATTTTGTTATGTGTTGGATCAATCTATGTTAGTGCTCCGCAGAACGCCACTTGTTTTTATTTATACGAGGGTTGATTTAAAAGTAATGTCACGTAGTTACAAGTAATGTAAAGGTAAATTTATTTCCAATCAGACCTAAAAATTTCAATTCAACACGATTTATACTTTTTAAGATATCGGATTATATAATTATATAACGTGTGATTATGGTAGTCGCCGCATCTTAAAAAAAGAAATCCAGGTTCCCATTGCACGCTCTTTTTTTAGGTCACCTGAGTCACTCAGGTGACCTATTGCTGTCTGTTTTCGTCCGTCGTTGTCCGTCGTCCGTCGTTCGTCGTCAATCGGTCGTAAACTTTTGAGCATTTTCAGCTTTTTCTCTAGAACGGATAGACCAATTTCAACCAAATTTGATATACAGCATCTATGGTTGAAGGGAACAAAATTGTGAAAATCATGGCCCCTGCCCCCTGGGGCCTGAGGGGTGGGACCAAAACCACCAAAATTAATGCAATCTTTAAAAATTGTCTTCTTTACCCCTGGACATCTAGCAGTCAAACTGTTGGCAAGATGATAATCAGCATTGGGTCCTCTACCAAAATTTTGAAATTCATGGCCCCAGAGTCAAGGGTTCTGGGGTTAGGGTGGGGCTTTATAGATCATATAATATAAGTGCATTATTTCTTTGAAAATCTTCTTCTCTGCTCCTGGGTATCAATTAAACTAACTAAGTATATACTAGAAGTTATGATAAGCAAGACTGCCTCTTCCAAAATTGTGAATTTTATGACCCCAGGGTCATTGGTTTTGGTGTTAGGTTGGGGCGCTATTGATTATATAGTGAAAATACATTAATTCTTTGAAAAACTTCTTCTCTGCTTCTGGGTATTAAATAAACTAACTTAGTATATAGTAATGGTGAGCAAGAATGCCTCTTTCAAAATTGGGAATTTTATGGCCCCTGGGTCAGGGGTTCTGGTTTTAAGGCGGGACTCTATTGATTTATATAGTGAAAATACATGAATTCTATGAAAATCTTCTTCCCTGCTTCTGGGTATTAAATAAACTGAGTACTAGTATATAGTTATGATGAGCAAGAATGGCTCTTTTAAAATTGTGAATTTTATGGCCCCTGGGTCAGGGGTTCTGGTGGTAGGGCGGGGCTCTATGGATTTATATAGTGAAAATACATTAATTCTTTGAAAATCTTCTTCTCTGCTCCTGGGTATTAAATAAACTGAGTATATAGTAATGATGGGCAGGAATGGCTCTTTCAAAATTGTGAATTTATGGCCCCTGGGTCAGGGGTTCTGGTGTTAGGGCGGGGCTCTATTGATTATATAGTGAAAATACATTAATTCTTTGAAAATTGTCTTCTCTGCTCCTGGGTATTAAATAAACTAAATAAGCATATAGTTATGATAAGCAAGAATGGCTCTTTCCAAATTGTGAATTTTATGGCCCCAGGGTCAGGGGTTCCGGTGTTAGGGTGGGTCTCTCTTGATTATATAGTGAAAATACATTATTTCTTTGAAAACCTTCTTCTCTGCTTCTGGGTATTAAATAAATTAACTAAGCACATAGTTATGATGAGTAAGAATGGCTCTTTCAAATTTGTGAATTTTATGGCCCCAGGGTTAGGGTTCTTGTGTTAGGGCGGGGCTAGCCTCTATTGATTATAGTGAAAATACGTTAAATCTAAGTGCATAGTTATGATGAGTAACGGTTTTTGTTTCAAAATTTTGAATGCAATGGTGTCTAGTTTAAAACATGAACCAAACTCAATCATTGGAAAGTTGTTGCATGATGCTCAGGTGACCTATAAGGCCTCTTGTTCATAATAAATTCTTTTGTCAATTTTTTTTATAGTAGCATTATACAAACTTATAATTTCACATATCCATTTAATTATAACCGTCTTTTTTGGCAACGTCACACGGCAGTCAACGTTTCCGTCCACCTTACCATCTTTCGGTTTTCTTGTCATCTGCTGAGCATTCTATGACCCATCAATCGCTAAAACCGTACATCTAATCACAAGTCTCTTATTACATTCTTTCCCATGTGAGTCTGGTGAATCAACCTGTCTCTACTGGTGATTTCCGATTTTGAAGCAAAATTGCATTACAGTTTGTTGTGATGTTTCTTTTTATCCATTTCGACATTAATATTTCTTTTGATCAATGCATCAGAGTATAGCAATATGTATCATAAATTTTTAAATTTTGGGCGATAAGGTACAATTAAAAGATGCTTTTTAATGTGTTTATCTTCTTCATTCTAAAAAAAAAGAACACTTAAGTTCGTGACGTCAGGTTGTGACGCGGCGACACCCCCTATAGTCTATGTTTTAAACTTCTATAAAATAAATTCAGTTAAGCATTCTTACATGAAAAATGAAATTTTAATTGGATTTATGTATGTGCATCTTTTGGTATACTGTCGATTTTATTTTGCGAATTCGGGTCAAAATACTGTTGATTAATTTTTACGTTTCAAAATTTTGCGAATGACCACTGCTCTGTTTTCATTTTCCTGTTGGTGATTTATTATTAAGAAAAATATTTTTGCAATGCAATGGAATCGCAAATTTGCTAAAAATTTATCAACAGCAAAAATTTTCAGATTTACGGTATCATATTTGAAAATATGACGCCAAGTATAAAAGACATGGACAGTGTGACATTACTTTTGGATCAACCCTCGTATCTATGTTCAAATAAATACGTTCATAAATATTGGGTATATTTTTTCTTGTGCTTCCAAACATGTAAAATGTAAATAAAATTTTTTTCTTGAAAAAATATTGTTTTACGTTATATGTCTACGTGACAAGCCTTTGTGATTTACACACCAATAACTCGCACAAAAATTTAAAAGTATTCCTTAAATATTAAGTAAAATACAAAGGCAATTCCCTGTTGACACGAATCAAAATATAAGCAACGATACGTTAGTTTCATCTTCCGTAATTTGAATTGTACCCAAAGTTGTGGTTGTTGGTCACTTAATCAATATTAAAAGGAGGCGGGCTTATCGATCGCGGTCATTGTTGACAGATTCTCTCTCTCTTCAAAAATTTGAATACATGTTTGGCTTATTACAGCGATGTCAATATAACTTTTTTAATGCGAGGACATGCAAATTAAAACAACTTGTAATTTGCTAAATTCTGAAAACGGCAACCAAACACGCTAAAAGCTTAAGACTTAATTTAGATCGAGGTCAGGTTAAAGAATACAATAAAGCCAGGAGTACACTCACAGGTGGACATCACTTGCCGAATTGTAAAATCTAACAGGTAAAAATCATGCTAAACTTAATTATTATATGGAACTACAAAATAACTTACAATCTAGATTATAATTTAGTATGCTGTTAACTTTTTTTTAGTTTAATTGAAATTGGTTTTGAACTTTATATAAGGAATGTAGAAAGATATTCTTTGTAGCAAATGTAAACTCAATAATTAATACCTATTCTCTGTAACCACTTAAACTTTTGTGGCACGCATAAACATGTTTTTTTCAAAGTTGGCTAGAAAGTACACCTTATAAACTACTTCAAAAATATTGTTAGATCATTTGGATGTTGAATAGTTACCATGGGAACGGTGTCTAAAGTTGATTTTTTCTGAAAAAAAATGCAATTATATTTCGGAATGTTTTTTTTTAAATGCAGTTACTTCAGTTCACGTTACTCACAGAAACAAGAAATATGACTAATGAAAAATAATGTTTTTAAAGCTGAAAAGGAATGTGTTCGCTATTTTTGTTCTCGCTACTCTGCAAACCAGGGCAATCAGACCGGTGTAGACGGACGAATGCTATACAGCACTCGGTAGCGAGAATAATAACGTAATACGTTGTTATTACAAGAAAGTAAAATACCAAATAAATTTACAATTATAGTTGTACAGGTCAGTGCAATATACAAACAACAGAGATAAACATCACTACAATAGAATGTAAACAAAGGTAATAGAAGATAACCAGCACGAACACGGGTCGCCATTCCACACCGATACCCGTGACAATTAAGCAGTCAGGTGTAATGAATGCAACGAGTATACCCTAGTGTTGATGGATCGTAGATGATGATATCGAAATGGCGTATGCCTATTTACGAGTCGTGTTCAGCTTTAAAGATCTGTCTTTAGGGGGATTAAACACTAAATGAGGATTGTGTTTCTTAGTTTGTGGGCATATGCTGAATCTTTTTCTGTATGTGATTGCTACCGGTAATCCTGACGGAAACATGTAAGCACAATCAATGTATGGGATTTAATTGTTTATGTTCATATCTATATAAACTATATATAAACTATTCGTATGAAGTGATTAAATGTAAATAAAAAGATAAAAATAGAAGTAATAAATGAAAGTAACAATAATAATTTTATTTTAATATTTTTTTAATCAACTAAAGAAATTTTCTTGATTTAATTTAGCAAAAACACAATTTTATTACAGAATTTATTTGAAAAATCCATTTCACTTTAACTTATATATGTGCATAGGAGTGCATTTTGATTGAAGGATGAACGAACACTTACAAACAACGGGAGCTACGGGACATATTCACAGTATCCTGCTGAGGTAATAACAAGCTGTAACAAAAATTGGTTCATGTACCCTTTCATTATTACTTACTAAATAACATTCTTAATTTCGCCTCAAGATTACTCTAGCAAGTCAAACGTAGTTTTTACAGTTTCTCCTGTTTCCTTTACTGTGGCAGACACCTTTATTTCTGTCATCCCAAAAATATATTGTTCTTCTGCTTCCCAATCCCCCTCGATATATTCAGGTACAGAAACTTCTAATCGTCCAACATACTGAAAGCTGTCGTCGATCACTGGAGCATTAATTTTCTCTGTGCAATATAATCTCAGTTCATAACTTCTTTGATCGTACGTAAGAGGGAATCCTATATCTGTTACTATTTGCCCATTTGAAGGTACTTTAGTATCTCTAGCAATCAGCTGATCAAAAGCATTTCGACATCTTTCAATACCATCTATGTCAAAATATCCATTTTCTTCTGGATGAATTTCAGGATCAAATAAATTATCTGCAGCTGCCCCATAAGAATACCGCAATATTCTAGCAGATATTGCTCGAGGATTGTGTCCAAATAAAACTGCTCCCTTAATTACAGCTACGCTACACTCATTTGGAATAACGATATTTAACTTTGGGAACTCCTTCTTGAATCTTTCTTGCAGTAAAGTGCATTCCCCATATCCTCCAACGATGAGAATATTTTCTATATTTTTAATTGTCTCTGCAATATACTTAATGTGTTTGATTATCTGACAAAATTGAGTTCTCGAAAAATTTCTTCATCAATGCAGGTGAAATTTTCAGCTTGTCTTTTACAAGTGATAGATGATCTTTTAGAACGGATTTATTAATAGCTTTCATTTTTTCATCTCTAGAGATTTTTTCGTTTAATACAGCTGGCAGTCTTGTAATGAGAGAAGTTTCAGAATCTGAAGAGATTGATCGTTTTTTGTTTTCAAACTCTTTGAGAATATTGAGATATTCCTCCATATCATCAATTCTTAGCTGTTCAATCGTCCCTGCCCCATAAATAATATCATATATCTTCAGATAATTCTCATCAACGTATATCCCTCCATAAGCTCCCCCACTGGCGCGATAGAGCTCTGTTAATGACCCATCCTCATCAACTTCATGAACACTAAAGTCAGCTGTTCCCCCTACGAGAAATAAAAAGAATATTCTTAGCAATATTTCTACAAATGTCATACTTTTCATATCAGATATAGCAATTAAAGGATAAAGATAACAGAAGTTATTGGATGGGATCTGGAGATCCGCGCCTGTCAACTCGACGTGATCCGGCTCTTCGGATCAAGTTACTGTTATAATGATAAATTTTTGATATACCCCCAATAAAATGAGAAAAGAAGAAATCTAATAGGATGCAAGGTTCGAAATATTTATTGACAATTCAAAAGAAACTGACTTTTCAAAGAACTATTTTTTGTTGCGCAATGTTAACAATTTAACAATAAAATCATTCAGAGTCATTGCTGTAGATCACACGGACGCGTTTTTTTTTTTTTTTGGTTTCTGAGGTTGTGAATTACAATTATTGATATTGATGGTGCAGTTCATCATTCTCGCATTTGAAAATAATTCTCTAGCGGTCGTTGACTGAAGGAATGATGAATTTGCTGAGATTGTCGACATCGAAGTTGTGGAACTGGCGGGTGGCGGATTTGAAGCTAGCTGGTAAGTCGAAACTGGACAAACGACATTTTACCCTTCATTTTCATTATTTTCTTTATTTGAAAGAATTTCACTCATAGTTTTTTGCATATCGAGTGATGGAGTTGCATATTTATTTATGCTTTGGACGTTTTTGTGTCCAGTTAGTTGTTGAATTGTGGTAGGGGCTATACCAACATGAAGCAATTTTGTACATGTTGTTTTTCTGGCTGAATGATTCGTTTTTCTTCAAGGAAGGTTTGCACGCTCTGCCATTTCCCGCATAATCGAGCGCAGTGAATTTTCGCCAAGGGATTGGATTTGTACCAAATTGGAGATCCATGAGGTCGTTTATGGTTAATCGCAATATAAAAAGAACTTTCAGGAGTCATGGTAGAAGGCGGCCTGTGGTCTCTAAACACCTTGTACGCAGTTACTTGGCAGCTCATAGCATCTTCTGGGTTTGCGTACTGTTTCGGACGGAAAGCTCTAAGATAAATATTTTCACCAGTTCTTGTTTTTGTTTCCCTTTCTCTAAATTCCAGATATTCCCTTCCATTTTCATCATGTAATAGCTTGATATCCGACAATCTAAGTTTATGATTTTCTGTCCCTCCTCGAATTCCGAACATCATGGTGTTTTGTAACCACATTTTGTTTAGCAATGCCTTCAGGCTGTCTTAACCAATGCATCTCTTCTCTTGAAGCAATTTTTCTTCACTCTTCGTTAGTTGTTCTGTTGCATTTGGTTTACTTCCCTTGCCCTTTTGTTTTAATTCCTTTCGTTTAGATAGAAGAACAGTTCTGCTTGTCGTAAATTCCTTATCAGATACTAAACTAAACGGATACCGGTCAATAGATCTGTGATAGCTAGTCAAAGTATCAGGCTCATAGTCTGAACCATCTGCCTTTCGGATCAAGAGAAAAAAAGAGCCTAAATAGTTGTCCAGCTCGCTTGGATCAATCCTATTGATTTCTCGGGTTTCGCAGTACAGTTAAGGTGCGCAATAAAAATATCGGCTAAATTTTGTATTTAAAAATGTATTTGTAATCGGGATGACGACTATTTTTAGTACATTATTTATATCGGATAATTGTAATTATGATGAATAACTACATATCGAGGACGATTAAATTTTATATTTAGACTAGTCACGTGATGCGGCAGTCACGCGATTTTAGCACATTGACTTGAAGTATTGATGTAACATATAAATATCATAAGGGCATAACCAAGTTAAATTTCCAAGTTTAGCATATAAATATTTTCAAAAAGCATTGTAGTTTCTGAAAAGTGCTGCAATCCTGTCTAAATTCTGCAATTTCATTGTTAAAATTATACTTGTATGACCGAATGCTATATTTTTTGCTGGTCAGCGGCATGAAATATTGATATAATTAAATTGTTTTTAAGATTTCGTCAGGATCGCAGCACTTTTCAGATACCTTATTAGTTCTATAGTTGAATTGTAAAAGCTTGCTTTGATCCATAGAGTGTATGCCCTTGCACTAGATCGATTTATTAAGACCCTCCACATTACCCTCCGATGTACTTGCATACAAATATACGGCAGTGTCAATTAAATACGTAATGTACAGAAAATATATTAATAAAATAGCGAAGAAGACATTGAATTCAAGTTATTGTCCCATAGAATATCTGTAAATAATATTTTATTTAAGTAGAGAATATAATTTTGTTAAGAAAATATTACTTGATCTGTCTCTCACTGCATACAAACTACGTCACGTTGTAAGAAATGACGTCATATTGACAAGTGTATTCCGATCAGTGACTTGTTTATAACTTGTTACGTGGGATTTAACTAACGACTATACAACACGATGTAGTAAGTTTTTGTGTAGTTTGATGATTTCTTACTGGTTAAATTAGCAGATAAACTCATTTTATGGTATTTTAAAGAAATCTTGTATGACGTATATTGTGTATGATGTCATATTCAAGTTTTCCCGTACAAAATAGGCTCTGCCTCCTTATTGTAACCATAACTGTGCTGCTAAAAAGCATGCCTTGGATTTGTACATACTTGGACAGTGGCTTCGCCAACTTCAAAAACCTCCTGTCAATGTCCAAGAACATGATGCAGCATTACAGCAGGTACGGAATAACCTTCCTTTTTGTAAGCAGTATGCCAAGTCGCCAAGTCGCCAACTCAAAGTCGAGCTTGTCTGGTAAACCGAAAGGATAATACCCGATACTCAATCCGTTTTAGAATGGTGGTTAATTTTTGTGTGAACTCATAGTTCGACCATAATTCTGGAAAATCTGTCCTTTTCTGACTGTTCACATGGTTCTGAATAATTTGACATATGTTTCCTTAATGTTTTGTCTTTTGTTTCCTTCCCCGTCTCATGATCTGCATGTAATTGTCATTGTAAATCCAATATCTCATACTTTTTTAATAGTATATATGATTGTGTATGTATATATGATTATGATTGATTGACTGATTGTATATTGTTTAACGTCCCTCTCAAGAAATTTTCACTCATATGGAGACGCCACCAGTTTCCGATGGAGAGCTGCAAATTTTGTCCTTTACTCGGCACAGAGGGCCTTTTAGCAGGGAGGGATCTATTTCGTGCCAGCACCTACTGCGACACGGGTTCGGTTAATATGGTCTCATCCGAAGAACTGTCTACATGTTCCACAGTGTGATTCAAATCAGCGAGGCAAGGATCAACTCCTTACTTCGTAACTCTAGAGCAGACACTCTTTCCACTGCGCCACATGGGCGACCATCAACATTATGATGCATCAGAATATGAGCATTATAATTCATCACTGGTGTGCAAAAAAAATTATTTTGACTATTATAAGCGATTCGATCCAGTTCAAAATCAATGATTCATGGATTCGGAGATTTTTGTGTATATTTGGAAGCGATATACATGTATTAATATTTTAAGGATTTAAGCAATTGATTAATATATAGATTACATAGATTGTGATTTTACATCAAATAGGAAAATGACTTTTACACAGCGATGGAGGCAATAAACAAGTGTAGCAACCGCAAATGATAAAACGTTGCTTAATGATAGAAATATCATTAATGAGCTAGGTTTGCTCCTCAGCTTTTCAGCAGATTTTTGTCTTGACCGCTATTTAAAAAAATATATATCCATAATGTTAAAGTTTTTACAATTAATTTCTATTCTATAGTGCTCATTTGACTGCATTAAAAGAATTAATTAAATAAAATTTCAAAAAAATTTCAAATTCTATAAAAAATATTATTATCTAGCATGTTCTCCCTAACTTTGGCTAATTTTATGAAGAAAGAGTCATAATATACCTAGTATGTGATTTTATATTAACATCAAAATGAGTTCATTAATGTTGCTTTTTGTTGGTCTTTTAATAGTCCGCATGTAAAACAGTAGAATGAATGAAAAATTATAAACCTGAATTAAACAAAATTAATCATTGTACAAAAAAGGAAGCAACAAACAAAAATTTATATTAACATGCAGAATTACATTTTCAGCCTTCTCGTATGCATTTAAATGGACAAAACATTTTTTTACATAACTATATACTCGTGATCACGTGTGTTGGCCAGGGAATCCACCAGACAATTAAGGGTATATTCACCGATAGTACAATAAATATATATTATTATAACAGTAACTTGATCCGAAGGGTCGTATCACGTCGAGTTGACAGGCGCGGATCATCAGATCAAACGAGACGCCATATCGGATAATTGTAATTATGATGAATAACTACATATCGAGGACGATTAAATTTTATATTTAGACTAGTCACGTGATGCGGCAGTCACGCGATTTTAGCACATTGACTTGAAGTATTGATGTTACATATAAATATCATAAGGGCATAACCAAGTTAAATTTCCAAGTTTAGCATATAAATATTTTCAAAAAGCATTGTAGTTTCTGAAAAGTGCTGCAATCCTGTCTAAATTCTGCAATTTCATTGTTAAAATTATACTTGTATGACCGAATGCTATATTTTTTGCTGGTCAGCGGCATGAAATATTGATATAATCAAATTGTTTTTAAGATTTCGTCAGGATCGCAGCACTTTTCAGATACCTTATTAGTTCTATAGTTGAATTGTAAAAGCTTGCTTTGATCCATAGAGTGTATGCCCTTGCACTAGATCGATTTATTAAGACCCTCCACATTACCCTCCTTATAATTGGCTGAAAATATTAGAATAAACCTTTAGAGATAAATTGGATAATAATAATCCATTAAACAAAGCATAATAACAAGGGACTTTTTAACGCGCAAGAAAAATAACGTCATATTTCTGCGTACTACGTCATCAGTTTCAGAGAGTGGTGATATGGATTCAGAAAACAACATGTTGGTGATCCGGAAAATAGGATCATGACGTCACGTGATAGCATAAATTCAACAGTAAAATAGGGTGATACACATGAGGTATATAATAAAAGAATTTATCAAGCGTAAAATACCTGTAATATTCCTATAGTAAGCCATAATGCAGTTCTCATTCACCTGATTTGTCAAAGTCACATTGGTGCCACACTTGCTAATCTGACGACAAAAATAAAGTCCCGGTTCCCATGCAAAATATTTGTCCAAAAAGAAATTTTAATTCATGACAGCAGAAAATTGTTTCATAGTGTGAAAATTAGCGACATCAATCAACCAAACTTGTATGCAAAAAACATATCTACTTATAGTGTGGTTTGGAGTGTCGGGTCCTAATAAATCTCTTACAAGTTTGGTTGATTGATGTCGCTAATTTTCACATATTTAATTTATTTCATTCTCAACCAATCATAGCTTACAGCAAACACAAGAATATAGGTGACGAAATAATCCGACCCCTGATGAGGCTTCTTAATAGCCGAAACACTCTACAACTACTTGCATAATTCAAATCAAATATTAATCTGCTCTATGCAAAAATCATAATTACTAGAAGTGTGGTTTGGAGTGTCGGGTCCTAATAAATCTCTTACAAGTTTGGTTGATTGATGTCGCTAATTTTCACACCTAGAATATTTATTTCTAATTAAAGCTTGAATGAATTCAAGAAAGATCGATTGAAGTACATTTCTACAGAATGGTATCATAGGGTGGTGAAAACTAAAACACAACATATCTTTTCTGTTTACCATGTATCCACGAGCTAGTCATTTCCCAGCCACATTTTTGTGAATAATTTACTCTATCTCGCTAACTCTCACCAGAGCAACTGTCAGAGCTACTCTGAACTCATCGGATTTTATAATTTGCAGAACATCGAAAAATAAAAGGTTCCAATCACATTAGTGGTTGTGACAAAGCTTATAGAAAACTGTTTTCAAACATATTTTAACAATGTAGAAACGCATATACCTATCTTTTACGCAATTGCAAATGAGGGAATTATTATACATTATAAATTCATTCAAGCAGATCGAAAGAATCATTCTTTACTTCTCCAGTTTCCAAAACTCTTGCCGACACTTTAATTTCAGTCATACCAAAAATATAACTATAATCTATATACCACTTGTTTTTGATATGTTTCGGACCATTTATAGTTAATTTTCCAAGGAATAGAAACCTTTCATCGTTTATTATCATTGACTCTTCCATTAATTCCGTGCATTATAATTTCAACGAAATTTGACTCTGTGCAAGGGTCATAGTTTTAGCTTGCTTGGTAACTTTCACTCCAGTCGAGGGAACTATTGTGTTTTTGGAAATCAGTTGTAGAAATACATTTCGACATCTTTCAACTCCGTCTTCGTCAATGTATCGATTTTCTAATGGATGATCCTCGTGATTAAATTTTGGATCAATTGCTATTCCATATGAGTAGCGTAAAATTCTTGAAGATATAATCAAAGGATTATGTCCGAATAACAGTGCTCCTTTAATAACAGCTAAGCTGCATTCATTGGGAATAACGATGTTTGTATGAGAAAATTCCATTTTGAACATTTCTTGTAGCAAACTACATTCCCCATATCCACCAACAATGAGAATGTGCTCAATGTTTGGAATAGTGTCTAAAATGTTCCGAACATGTTTGATGATTTCATTTAGTGACTCCTCAAAGAAACTCTTCATCAACCTGGCGGAAATTTTTAATTTATCTTTTACAAATGCTACCTGATCTCTTAAATAGGAGGACTGAAGAGCTTTCATATTCTTCTCTTTAGAACTTTTTTCGTTCAATACCACTGAAAGCTTAGTTACGAAAGAAGTCTTAAACTCTTGAGTAATTGAGCGTTTTTTGTTTTCAAATTCTCTAAGGAGAGTCAAATATTCTTCCATATCCTCTATTTTGAGCTTTTCAAGCGTCCCTTTTCCAAAAATAACATCATATATCTGCAAATACTTTTCATCAACGTATATACCTCCATACGGTCCACCACTGGCACGATAGAGCTCTGTCAATTTCTCATCCTGGCCAACTTCATGAGCGCTAAAATCAGCTGTACCCCCTGAAAGAAGTATTGATAATTAGAGATCAATGAATTAAGAACAGGACTCTTGTTTACAAATCCACTACGTGACACGGAGACTGTATAACAGAAGAGACATAGGTCTCTTTTTGCAGTAGGTGCTGATACGAAAAAGATCTGTCACTGATCAATAGGCATGAGGTAATGTCTCGATATGAGAAAGACGTTAAATAAACATTAGGTTGTCCGACGAGAAAAACATTTTGATAAATAAATATTCTATATTTCGGTTTCTTTGACAATTTTTAATACATGTATAAATATTTTGAATACTGAAAAAACTCCAGTTTGAATGCAGGTATTTTTGTAAATGTTTGATTAAATCTTAGGCCTTTATATTGATATTTACATGTACGTGAGGAAACTTATTTCGACACTTTTATTGAGCCAACAACGGTATCATAGTCAAGTATTAATAAAATCAATTTTAACAAAAAGGGTAAAGGAAAACCTTGTTTAAGTTTGCAGCATACCTCCAATATCTGCAACTAAGTATCTGGTGCCAGGAACACTTATAACTTTCCCCGTTCCGAGTTTTAGATTTTCTAGAGGGACTCGTTGACAGTAAACAGAGGCTGCTTCTGGCTCCAAAGCTAACTCTAGGTAATCATCTTTTATGCCAGCCTGTATTCAACATTATCATCATTTCCTGTTAGGTTTGTCTTAAACTTCCATTATTTATTTGTTTTCCGAGAATTTATTTTTAATGTTTTGCAAGTACATGAATTTCTAGTTCTTTATAAAGCACGCAGTTTTAAATATTGATATAAAAATTACATGTTATTTGTGTTCTTATTTTTTATTTTTTGGTTGAGTGCTAAATCAATATAGATCTAATGAATGAATAACCAAATTTAAGCCTACTTGAACAGCTGGAACTCTCATAAATTGTTTTGATCGATCATTCCAAATGGCAGGCACTGTCAGGATATATTTGATTTCTGTCTCTCCAGCTTCTATTCCTCTGTCCTGCATGGTCTTAAGACAGTGATCTTTAAGGTATTTAATAGACAGCGAAAAAATTCTCAAGGCCGGAAGTGACTTGCCAGAGACATCATCAATATGTAAATCTTTTCTCACATTCTGAAAAAAAACATAGAACCGAATTGATTCGTAACTCGTATATTGTATCACGACTTAATATAATCGCTTTCTTACTAATAGCATGGCTTATTTCCCGAACGTCTATCCACTATACATGTATTAGCAGTGTAATTATCACTCTCAATTAAAGGAGCATGGACACAGTTTCAACTGATTTTTTTCATCTATTTCAATTTTTATAATTCTTAACTAAGGCAATTCTATTGATCAGCCAAACTTGAACAATTCATTTGTTGATTTACAAAGGATATACAGGACTGAGAATTTTTAATAATGTAAATAAGGCTCGTGCCTTGTTTTGTTTACATTTAAAAAATATCATGTTTATAACACAACAAAATTGACCAAATCGTTAGAAAATGTCTAATTGTATATAGAATTAACTTCTTTAAAAAATCTGCTCAGACGAACACATATCAGCGTGTTTAACCCATGTAAACAAAAAACATGACTCTGGCCTTGTTTACATAACAAAGGTTTGGAGCTCTAAATCTGTCTTGTGACAACTACTGTGGTTTCATTAATTTTCGTGGGCATCAATTTTCGTGGATTTTATTACACAGACGTTTTCGAGGATACGTAATTTCGTGGACAAAAGCATTGCCTATACAAATGAATAGCATATTTCTTAATTCGATGAACATTTGAATTCGTGGATCTGTTCAACAACGAAATTCACGAAAATTGGTGCTCAACGAATATTGATGAAACCACAGTAAATCAAACCTTATCATTAGAAATACCTTAAGTTAGATAAGTATATGTAAACATAAAGAAATGGAATGAAATTTTTTGGCTGAAACTGTGTCCAGACCCAATTATGAGACCCTCTTAGGTAGCGTTTACCTGTATTACATTTGCCTTTGTTGTCCTGATTGAATGTTTGCATTGTTGCAACGTGAAATTTAATAACAACGTAAAATGTAATAAGCTGGGATTATTGCATTTTGTGTTACTTAATTCTTTCTGTATCCTCGCCTCTCATTTGTTATTATCCAAAAAGGAACGAAAATTATTCTGTATAATCTGGTTTGGTATGGGTACACACCCCCTTGACGGACAACTGAATCATCTTATCAACGCAATTCCCTCATTTCTAGTCGCAATCCATGGAAAATTCCAGATTTAATGATTTAATGTACCTTTAACTTCAAACAGTAGCTCAATCTTACTGCATGAAAACAAACATCATGGCTGCCAGGTCTGTGTATAACTTTTTACATCTCCTTGTTTCCCATCACTTCCGTTACTACGGTTGTATTACTGTGGTTTCATCAATATTCGTTGAGCACCAATTTTCGTGGATTTCATTGTTGAGCAGATCCACGAATTTAAATGTTCATTGAAATACGAAATATGACATTCATTTGTACTGGCAATGCTTTTGACCACGAAATTACGTATCCTCGAAAACGTCTGTTTTACAAAATCCACGAAAATTGATGCCAAAGAAAATTGATGAAACCACAGTATTAAGCAGCAAATTAAAACTCATGAAAAGCAGCACAATTTTTCATCCACAGTTGTATAATTATTTTAAAATTAATGACTCTAATTCTTAGGTAAATTATTCGAGTATAACCTGGTTTGGGTCAGTTTATGTACGCTTTTGCGTAAACTGACCCAAACCATGTTATATCGAATATAGAATTAGAGTCATTCTTTAAATAACGCAAAATATAATAATCCCACCTTATTACATTTTGCTTTGTTGTTAAATTTTGCGTTTTACTATTGCATTAAAAACATTTACTTTTCAAACAAAAACTATTGTCTAAAACACATGCAGTTTATTTCATTGAATAATAACTAAATATCCAGACACTAAAAAGGTATGTTTCTTGAAATAAATATTTTTATTATTTCAATACATTTTAATACTAACATTTTGGCACAATTAAACATGTGCACGGAATGTGATAGCACATTTATAAACATTACTTTCTCACACAACACTTTGAACACTCTTTATTTTCATCAACATTTCAAGCTTGGTTTATAAATAAACTTTATTGTATATCTTTGTTTAACATGGAGAATTTATCTCGGCAGGAGTACACATTAGCACATTTCTTTTGATTTTGTTTTGTCCTCGCATTTGCGAAAGCGAAATGACATAAAATCTCTGTTACCTATGACAAGAACTTTCTAAATGCACTATAGTTTTAACGTACTAAAATTGACCTTGAAGTTTTTCCTACTTTTCAAAAGCTTTATCCTTGATTATGTCTTTTGAATGAGAAGAGACATCGCTCTTATTTAAAAGATGTGTGCTATGACAAGACTTTTCTATGCACACAATGATTTTTAACTTCCAGATCCTTACCTTGAGTTTGACATACATTAAAAAAAGTATACCAATTGTCATGACTTTTGAATGAGAAGAGATTTGGCTTTCATATTAGACCTATGTATTGTCTATGACAATGTCTTTCCAAATACACAATGATTTTGGATTTGTGACGTTTACCTTGACGTTTGATCTACTTAAAAAGCTTGGTTACGAAAAGAAAAAGGACTTTCATATTGATCAAATATGTTGACTGTAACAAGACCTTTCTGAGTACACTCTGATTTTCGATCCCGTGACTTTTCCCATGAAGTTTGACAAAATTTAAACAAATTTAAGCACTACTTTGAATTTGGAATAAAATGTGAATGAGGATTAATAGGGATTTCATTTTAATCCTATGTATTTCCTGTGACAAGACCTTTCTATATACACTAATATTTTTGACCTTGTAACCTTGACGTTTGACCTTCTTTTCAAAAATTTAGCCCTAGTCATATCTTTTGATTGAGAAGAAATATGGCTTTCATATTAAACTGTTTATTGTCTGTTACAAGAGTTTTCTAATTACACTATAATTTCTTTTAAATCTCGTGACATTGACCTTGAACTTCGACCTTTATTTCAAGAATGTCAATTTTTCCTTTATAATTCTATATTTTAAGAGATAGGGCTATCAAGTGCATTTCCTGTGACGAAATATTTCTGAGCCTGTGATAATTCCTAAAACCTTCATCTTGACCTTCAACATTTACCTAATTTGTAAAAAATTCAATTTTGGTGATAAAGTTTGAATGACATATGATATGGTGTTCATATTTGATACGATTTCCGGCAGGCCAGTCAACAGTGAAGTTGTTAGACCGATTTAAAATAAACATTTCTTTTTTTGGATTACCTTAAATATTTAATTCATTTCATACTATATATTACAAACATTTTTTTTTAATTTGAATGAGGTCATAAAAATGCAGGCAATTTAAGTAAACGGTTTAAAACCTAGGTAAATTCTACATTTTACATATGGATGGATTAATTGAGTATGAAAATTATATTAGGGGAACACAACCCTAGTAAATGTATCACGTACTACATGGCAAAAATATTTTCATTTGGCAGCCACGGTAGCTCAGTCGGTAGAGCGCTCGCTCAGTGACCGGATCTAGGTCGTGAGTTTGTATCTCGGCCGCGACTGACCTAGTCGTTAAAATAAGTAGCAACCTTTCTTTCGTTATGCGCTCGGCACTTTGAAGTGAAAGTTGCGGGTCCTTCGGATGAGACCTTAAAAACCGAGGCCCCCTGTCAGCGACAGACGTTGGCAAGATAAAGATCCCTCACTAAGCTTTAACTCGGATGCCGATTTAAAGTCAAAATTTGAAGCCCTTCAATGGCATACGGTGACGTCTCCATATGAGTGAAAAATTCTCGAGAGGGACGTTAAACAATATACAATCAATCAATCATTTGGCAGCACAAAATTACCGTAATTGATAATGTACATTATAAATTGTTAGATATAAAGTGTTAAGTATCCAAGTTGTTTAAGGTAGCCCGATCCTCAGGTTTATAGAATTAGCAGTTAAGTAACCAAAAATGCTCATAAAAGTATCCCTGAATCCACAAAGTTTTGTAAATTTATTTACAATATTTCTTTAAAGTTAAAGATTAAAGTTAATCATATTATATAGGTAAAATTGTGAAATCTCCAATATTTTTGCCGAAAAAGCGAATTGGAATATCTGAAATGCATTTTCTAATCGCAAATTGATCAACAAATATATTTTAGGTTAAAAAAACTACAGGTATCCAGGCATTCAGAGAAATTGTCATGATTTTTATACATATTTGGTATTTTTTGTCCCCTCTTTCCGTCATGTATTATATAATGCATAGTGTAAAAGTATTTTGCTATCATTGCAAGACACTACAAATCACTTTTATTTCATATAAATATATGCTTATAAGCTTTGGTATCTAACGCTGGATTCAAGAAAATCTTGTTTCTTAAAACTGTAATAATTTTTTTTCCTTTTATAGGGTACAAATGTAAACTTTTCTAAGAATTCCAAAAACTTTTAGTTTTATAAAGATGAATAAAATGAAAATTTTTGCATGAAAAAAAATTAATTTTCAAGCTTCATTTTGATGCATTTCAAATTAAATATTTATTTTCGGAGTAATAATTCCTGGCTGAGGATCGGACATCCTTAAAACTCCTTTAAATACCTATCTGCTATGACAAAAAATTAATTCATTAATATCTGCTATTACACTTGTTGATGGATTAAATTTTTGTCTTTCTGGGTATAATCCGATTATCGACATGCTCCTTATTCTCCGTTGCTTTGCTACTCGTTTATCACAATACAAAACGAAGGTGATTGAGGATCTGATTTTAATTAGATTTACTTTTTGTCATTTAAAATTTCCTTATTTGAATGCATAATGTTTCTTTACAAAAGCATCATGCGGTTAAAGGAAATCAGTGTGCTATCAAATATACGGGTTTTAGGTGTTAATTTTATCGTTATATTTTTGATCAGGTTTAATATAAACTTGATGAATGGATTTGTTAATTTGAACATTGTCAATACATGTATCTTGTTCTCTCCAGGAAAGAATTTGCTACACAATTGAATTAAGCACTGAAATCGTTTATTGAATACATTTATGAG